GAACCAAAGCAAGTTGAAAACCAAGCTCAGAACCAACAGCTGCAGTCACATATTAAGCATTGGTCATGTCTGATTGAAATACATATAATTAAAACATAGTAACACAATTCATTCAAAAAAATTCTCTGTCCATCATACGAAATTATTTTGGCCAATCATGACATTCAAATACATGCCACAGTTCAACCACTATGTGATAAAGTTAATAATTGTCTATATAGGACAATCTTTTACAACCAAACATACTAGAGTTTAATGATTGAAAGAAAATTGCCCTAACTTTCAAAAGCTAAAAAGTTATAATACCCACAATAACAACCAAAAAAATTGCTTTCATAAAGAATTCTATGGCTACTTTTACTAAAACTACAACCATCCCGTCTATTGGTAAAGCTATCTGATCAATGAGCTTAAACTAATGGAAGATTGCACCATACAGTAGCATTAGTCAAAATTGATGATAGAAGAATAGAATCTTACAAGAACTTCCAGCTAGAGAAGTAAAACAATAAATTTTTTTTTAAAAGATAATCATGAATCATACCAAAAGATGAGACCATTTGATTCAACATCAAAACAAGCTAAAGAAGCACTGCACCAACCATCCATATATGCATCATAAAAAATAATCGAAGCAAAAGTTACTGCCACGAAAGATGTCCAATTTTTCAATTGCACCAACCCTCAACATACGCATGCAATATAAACATAAAAGTCTGGCTCCAATGCACAATCAACTAGACAAGGTGATGCCATAAAGAATAAGCATTTACCAAAAGCAGTTCATAAAATCTCACCAGCTCCAACACCCTTCTTCCTCTTACAACCATCTGTTTTAGCCTTTACCCAAGGAAAATGTGACCTTCTCCGCCAAAAAAGAGAAAATAAGTTTTTATCTCTAACTATTGACACTTTACCAAATAAACCATCACAACCAGCCACAAAACTTGGCTTAATTTTGTTATAAAGAATAAATGGTTAAAGATGATATGTTTAAATATACTCCTAATTCTCTTCATATTGAGCTTTAACCAATGGAGCCAGAGAAACCACTCCATTCGTACCCCCATATTATGCCTAATGATTAATTAGTAAGGTGCAGATTGATGAAGAAGAAAACTGTAAGCACTTTGACTGTTTAAGGGGCATGCTTGTCAAAATACTATACAGACTACAATTCTATACTAGAACTTTTAGTGAAGTGGAATGATAGAAGAATTTTCACTGCTTGTAATGCATACAAAGGTATGGAAGTTAGCACACTTTTTAGTAAAATAATCCTCCCTCCAAAGGATAAGTTAGAGGTTGTTTAATCACCATTCCTACCTTTTATTTTACGAACAACATCTTCAAATTAAACCTACTACCTTCTACCTTTAAGCAAGTTAACACCCATGTATGTATAAACTGCTCTCACAATTACTGCAAAACAATGCTAACATAAAGAGTGACAGTGCAACTGTATTTGATTCATCATTTGTCAACCAGTGACAATGTTATCTCTTAAGGATGACACTGTCAGAGCATGGCGAGGGGAACCCTTATAAGCAACAGACGAAATGAAAGAAGAGGAATATTTATGATTTCCAGGGCATGACAACCATTACGATCGAAAAGGATCACTGCCACATTTTCGATATTCCATAACGTCCAAAACAATGGTAGTTTTTAACACTCTCATCAGTAGCTATACCAACATTCCCCAACATCCAAAATAATGACAAAAATTTGCTCCACAGCACTTATAGCAACATTCTCGAGCAAGATTTTTAATATTCAAAGTATGACGAAGCAAATATGCTCCTAAACCAAGATTCTAGTGCAAAATAATAAATACACACTAAAAAATTCTTAAATCTTGGCAAATACTTTCTTGCAACTCCACCTCCAAAAACAAATCAGCAGAGAAATGGGACTTGCCTTCCAGTATCACAGTTAGGTGATAGGAAAACATACCTCATATGACGCGGTAACGATCACGGCGAGAGTGAAGAGCAGAAGGTAGATCAGAGAGAGAAAGGGCGAGGGAGAGCAGAGAAGGGCACAGGTAGAATTCCTTACCCTAACGCGAGTCGCGGACGCAGCACGCGGGCTCTATTTTGCGAAGTGCGTATTGGGATAGCACCAAAACGCGGCTCGAACTCGTTTTCCAAACAGTGCGGCGGCTTTCTCAAAACGCCCCTAAACTGACCCTCAATCTCAGCTTATTTGTCTTCTTGGTGGCTTTAACTTGAGCTTGAGCTCGACTCATGACAATAATGGTAAGCTCATGATCCATCCAATGAAGTAGTCATTGTGAGAGCTCACTAGAGAAGGCATTGACATGATCAATTATTGGAGAAGCTGTCATGGGTGCTCCCTAGAGAAGGTATTGTCGTGACCTGCGGCTGGAGAAGATGAACTAGTCACTGTGGGAGCTCAATAGAGAAGGCATTGACGTGACTTGTGGTTGGAGAAAATGAACTATTCACTGTGGGAGCTTACTAGGGAAGGCATTGACGTGATCAATTATTGGAGAAGGTGCCATGGGTTTCCTAGAGAAGGCATCCTGCAGCTGGAGAAGATGAGCAAGTCCTTGTGGGAGCTCATTGAAGAAGGCATTGATGAAATCAACAACTAAAGAAGAACAAAAAGTTAACTTGTGAGCTTGCTGAAGAATGGATCGACCCTAAACTTGCTGTGCACTAGCTTTTGGCAAATAATCAAGTGTTTGTAAGGAAGAAATAAATTTACTAAGAAAGTATCAATATTCTATTCATTATTTAATGTAATATATAGTGGGTAATACTATGCTTCATGAAGGAGCATATGTAGTTCCTGACATGGTCAGTTGCTGAGTAAATGAGCCATCTTGTGGGCTCTAGTTTGAGCTTGAGCTCATGCTCATGGCTTGATACGCTCGACTCACTATCTTATTGGCGGATTGAGTGCGAGTTGGCTTGGCTAATAGCGCAACTTCAAAGTAAAAAAATCCAACCCAAAGTTGATTTATCTTCACTTGCACTTGAAATCTAACATGCATCTAAATATTTTTGTAACTTCAAAGGAAAACTTGAATCGAGTATACCATAGTCTTCAAATCTTTCAAAACATCCAACAACCTTACTTATGTAATACTTTAAATAAAACTTGCATTATTTAATAGTTTTTATGATTACCTTACAATATTATGCAAATTTTGTTTTTGAAGCAATAGGAGTACTTGTCTCCCGGATTCCAAGGTGCTTATACTTATCAAGTACTTTTTAATATAATAAAACTAATTTAATCCATAGTCAAACTTCATTCCCAAAATACTATCCATTTCTTTGAGATCTTACATCTTATTTTCTAAATACTAAAGTAAAATTTTTTTGATCTTCTCTTTTCTAGTTATATTAGTGCTAAATAATTAGCATGCCATCAACATATAAATTGATAATATTATCGAAATCTTTGGTTCGCCTGGAGCAATTACATTCAGTACTTTTATGTCTGAATCCATTTATTAAAATTGCTGAATCAATAGTCTCTTGTCATCATTTAGTCGCTTGCTTAAGTCCATACTTTATCAATATACTAATTTTATTTTCAAACTAGGCAATATAATTTGGGCATTCCATAAATCGAACCTTCCATATTATACGTACTTTTACACCCAATATTTTTAGAACATTGTGGTAAATCAATTAAAATCCAATTATATGACATAATTGAGTATATTCCAACATTACTAAAACCAACATTAATAAATTTTTTCTTAAGGTTGAATCTATAAAAGCATAGCTATACTAAAATTTTGAATCATCCTGAATTTGTAATAAAATAGTTGTTCTATACATAATTTCTATCACCTTCAACCAAGAAAATAGCTAAATTAAATGAAATAAAACCAGATTGAACAGATTTTCCAGTTCTTTTTCTCTGGTTTCTCTTTCATTATGTTGTTTCATTATTTCCTTTCTTTTGCAACTATTAGAATTTTCTATAGTCCTTATTAATAGAATCTATGGAATCAGAAATAAATTTATTTTCACCAAATTCAGCATTTATATATCTTATAATAACCGTAGATTTTTAGTAGTCTATATACTTGTAAATAACCAACAAAAACAATTTGTATTCATCTAGTTTGGTTTTGTGCGGATCAGTAACTTTATTAAATATAATACACACCCACACTTTTGGCATATTGTAAGTTCTGTTTTCTAACATTATTCCATATCTCATATGTTTAAATATGTGGCTTTATGAATATAACCTACAGTGAAAAGAGATTTTCCAAATAGATTATAAGGCAATTTGACATTCATTAGCTTAGGGCTTCTTTCGGATCTTTTTTTTTTACTTTTATTTTAAAAACATTTGTTCAGTGCATTTTTTGCATGTTTTATTTAAAAAAAAAATAATTTATTTGTAAAAACATTCAAAACATCTAAAAGTTGTTTTGATTGTTTTTAAAAACAATTAAACATGTTTTATCATATCAAATATGTTTTGTTTTAAATCAAAATATTAAAAAAAAAATCAAAAGTGATTCCAAACTGCCTTTTAGTTTTAGCCATCTCGACTGAATTTTTTTTTTTTTTCATTCATTTATTCCACTTTTTTGTGGTGAACAAGGCGGAGTTCTTTGATATATTATCCCACTTTCTTCAACAAATGACTAAATAAATCCATAATATATTATCTGATTTTATAACTATGGGGAAATTCAATTACGTATAAAAAATAAAATTTATAAATTACTGTTTTCCACCCCTTGCTAGTTTTCCATTTAATTCATAAATATTAGAATGTACAATTTCCAACAGTGCAAAGGATCATTCTTCTTTATGAAATAGTTTCTTTGTCATTCTTGCTTAAATACAAATTTCACACTATAGCACAGAACTTATATAGTTTTTTTTGTCATTTTTGCTTAAATAATAGAATGTTTTTTCTTTTAGAAATTAAATTTTATTTTTTCTATTTCCGTTATGTAATTTATGCTTGACGGTTTAACTTTGTTCTTGGATTAGTTGATTGACCCTGTAGATAAAACAGCAGATAGAGATTTATCTCTGATTAAGGATTTGGGAGTGAAGCTCATCTATGCTATGAATACTCATGTACATGCTGATCATGTTACTGGAACTGGCATCATAAAGGTCTGTAAAGCCTTCTATTCTTTTTTGGAAAATTTACATGCATACTGCTCAATTCCTATGTATTTACATATCCAACACCCAAAATTCAATTTTTACAAACATATCACCTTACCTAAGCTTGAAAAGGTGCATTTCACTTTTTAAAAGTAAAATGGTGCTATTTTTGATGTGATAGGAAATATTTAGGTGGTATAAATGTAAAAAAGTGAAGTTTAGGTGTGAGATATGTAAATACATAAGAATTGGGTGGTATTTATATAAATGCCACTTTTTTCAGTTTATTCAATGATCAAGCTAGTCAGTTAATTGGACAATGGTAAGGCACTACTAAAAGTATATTCTATCATATTGAAGCTATTATTATTATTTTTTGTTCTTATTCCTGATGTTATAAGTGCATTTTATTTGATTTTTTACATTTTTCTCAATAACCACGAACTTGCAGAGTAAGGTTCCAGGTGTACAATCAGTCATCTCTAAAGCTAGCAATGCGAAAGCAGACCATCTAATTGAGCATGGCGACAAAATAAGTTTTGGTGATCTCTATTTGGAGGTATGGAATTGTTGATTTTATGGAGTTTTTATGTATTTGATTGGAAAAAGGCTGATCCATGTCTAATTTAATTTCTTGGTATGCATTGGTTCACTTGTTTTACATGACCAAAAAAGTAATTATGAACAAACGCCGAACTTTTTTGTCAATTGTCTATTTGTTAATCCCTGGAGCCCTTTGTTTTTACATTGTGACTGCAAACCTGTGGGACTGCTGTTATTCTTCCATGTCCGGTGGAGACAAACTCGACTGTCCTTATAGCTATGTATTTATTGGGGCATTTACATACATAGCACAAAATTCTCAAGTATTTACATTTGGCACACCTAAAATTTCATATTTATGCACATAGCACTGCAATTATTAATATCACATGAAAAATAGTATTATTTGCACTTTTTAAAAGTGAACTATATCTTTTCATGCTGAGGTTTGAAACACCAAAGCGCTATGTATATAAATACAAAAGTTTTGGTGTGAGTCATGTAAATACATAAGAATTTTGTGCTAGGTATGTAAATGTTCCTTATTTATTCTATCAATATCTTCCATCCTCAATTGGCAAACTTACTATTTTATCCATCAAGTCATTTTTTGTCACATCTTGAGAGTTGAGTCCTGAAGATAGTATACCCTGACAACATGCTGTATGATGAACTTAACCTCAACTCATGAGACAAGCCGTGACGGCTAAGATAAAGCATAATTACTTTTTTATTAAAATATAAAATGATTCATAGATAAACCTATACTAGCTATATATAATCATCAATATACGAAATAAAACTTTATTGAATCAGTAGAGCCTACCTCTGCTCAAAGAAAACTAATAGAAGGGAAAAAGAATCAACTGCTACTCTAATAACTAACCCAGAACCTAATAATTGCAAAAGGCATAAATATCAAATTAATAAAATAACTATTGTTGATGAATCTATTTCCCTGGAAATGATCCACTAATCACTCTGATAGGATATGCTAAGAGAAAAATTAATCACA